ACAGGATAGACTTTCTGTCTCATTCCATCCACCCTCACTTTCTGTCCTAATGAGCTGCCAAAAGGCTGAAACTGCCCTCCCGACTTCTTGAATGTGTAGAGGGCCTACGGAGCAATTACCCATCTCCTTTCTGTGCTTATCATCCCCTGAAATTTGGGTTAAAGATGCTCTCAATTCTTGCTTTTTCTGTTTTTTTATTTGTTTGTTGTTTTTTATATCCTGACTTAAAGCCCTCCCCTCCCCTACAGAGCCACTGCCTACTAGGGTGCAGGTTGTCCTTGTGTGACATGAAGAGGCACCATTCACACTACAGTCTAAATGAGCAGCATCCTGTGTTGAAAGGAATCAACCCTGCAGTCACACACAGGGCCATACCACTCTTTGTGTTTTATTTCTTAATATCCAAAATGACATTGACACTTCCCTCTCAGTGAAGCAGCACACTTGTAAAGGGGTAAGGAACAAATGCAAGAAAAGATCCAAGAGGCAAAGAAAATAATAAAGGTAAATTTTTCTGACCACATTTGACATTTCTAGGTACCATCAACAGACTAAGAGTACAGTTCCCTGAAATGTCTTGCCAGCATTCGAACACCTGCGGTCATGATGCAAATATGGCCAGTAGTGGAGGGAGGGCCAGAAAGCAAGCATACTGCTCATAGACCCAGCACCTGGAAGGCATTTCTCTGAAGGGTGCTTACTTTACCAGCAGGTAATGGGTTAAAACTGTCATCACAGCAGGGACGTGGGATTTAACCGGGCTGCCTTTTTTTCTTCCTTTTATTTATTTATTTATTTATTTATTTTAAATTTGCTATCTTCCCATGTGCCTACCAGAGAGAGGCAGAAATAAAAAGAGAGGGAGAGAGAAAGTAAGACAGCACCCCCCTCCCCCCAGGGAGGATGGCCACTCTACCACCCCTTCTCCATTCTGCTCTCAGGATTTGGGGAATACACTTACCCAAACTCTGTGTGTTTTTTAAGCCACTAGGCCCAGGACTGAAATCACATGGTTGGCCTTTGGGATCCACCTACCTTCACCAACACACCACTGGCTGGCCCCCCAAATGCACTGCTTAAACTATTTATCTTCCAAGGCAAGAATGTGATGTGGTGGTAAAGGCGCTGGATACCCACATGGCTGACCACGGATGGAGTCCCCAACCTGGCAGCTTAAAAATCACACCAAGCATGTGAGCGTGCCCAAAAAATCCCGAGAGGAGAATGGAGGAGAAAATTGTTGCGATATGGTGATTTCTCTCTCTCTCTCTCTCTCTCTCTCTCTCTCTCTCTCTGTTTCCAGCAAGCACACATGTCCTATGGCAAAAACTTAAAAAAATTTTTAAAAACTTACTTTCCAATTGCATTGGTTGATTTTTTTTTAACACACAAAACTCCCTCCCAAAATTGCCTCTCAGTACTGTTCTTAGATCTACTCTCATATAGTGTTGTCCTCTGCTGCCCCTCAATTCCACCACCATCAATAAGCCTGATTTTTCCAAAACCCATACCAGCTTTCCAGTGTCTAAGCCAGGGGGACTCTTCAGTACCTGTGGCTAGTATTTATTGAGTAATAACTGGGGGCCAAACAGTGTTCTTATTGTTTCACATATACTGTCTCTTTTGAGCCACAGACCAATGAAAAGCATTGTGTTCTACAATTATCTTCTTTCTGTGGGTGAGTAAATTAGGGGCTACAGAGATTAAGCAATGTCTAAGGTGCTGGCTGTCTGGGTCTAGAGCCCAGGTTGTAACCTCTTGGTCTAACTGTCCTCAGTCCACGGCCCTTCATGTTGCCCTGACTCCCCCGCAACACTCAGTTCTCTCACTTCACATCCTTCTGCATTTGAACCTGTCCCCACTCTCACCAGCCTTCCTGAGGGAGTGGAGAAAGTGAATCAACCCAAGAAAAACAAACTGAAGGCAGATAGAGAAAAACGCCAGGGAGATGACTACCACCTCCGCAACTGACATCTGCAGTTCTAGACTTGCAGACCACAAAAGCCCCTTATTTCATCAAGCAAGATGTGGAGTCTGGAGTTTGCTTGTAAGGTCCAGGCTCATGTGGCCAATTACCGGCAGAGCAGGAATTAGAATCAAGGCAGATCTTTGCCATTCGTTTCAGAGACCCTCATTGCACCCCACTCTTCTGCCCTATCTCTGGTTCTGACAAATACACGAGGGATCCTGTTATCCACAGGGCTTTCAGGTGGCTTCCCTCACCTACCTGCATCCTATGGCAACAGCTCCTGTCAGTTGCTTTACTCTTGCCCCTTAAATCTTCTCTTCACCTCTGCATGATTACATCCTTAGCCTGGGGCTCAAAGTCTTCTCAGAGCCCATCTTCTGCCCACCTGTCCACCTGTGGTCCTGGTTTTTCTAAGCTATTAGCCACTTGGACTCTAGGTCACATCCTTCTTCTACAGGGGATGTTGGCAGCAGGATACAAAGGCCATTAGTAAATCAATAACCCTTTATTTAGAAAAGGGAGGAGTGAAGGGAGGGACCTGGAGTTTTTAATTCAGATCTAGCAACTCCTAGGGCATTATCAGGAGCATTCTAAAAATAGATGATGCCGCTACCATTGGAACTTTACAGCTTCCTGCCCATAAACAGGAGCAGCTTGACACGGGTGGGATCATTAGCCGAAATCTCTCTCTCCCGTGGCTGTTATGTCTTCCTCTAACTCTCTCACACCATATGTATTATCTAGCGCTGTGAGGCTCTTTGTTTCTTTTATCCTCGCCTCCTCTCACTTCTCTCCACATATCTTTTGGATATAGATTGAACTTCCGCCCATCAGTGCTTTTCTATCTCACACACTGACGACTTCTGTCGGTGTATGAAGTCTCAGTTGTCAATGTAGCCACATGGAGTATTCATAAACACACATCTTTCTCATCTGGTAAAAGATGATCTTTGAAAAGTCAGCACATGTCCTAGGGCCCTTCATGCCTCTTACCAGCCTTTGGGAGACTCCTACCATTATTCTGTCCTTACCCCTGTTTTAATCCAAATGTGTCCACACAGAAAACAAGGACACAGTTCTGCAGACAAGTGTATGAGTGGGACCAGAGTAGTGGTGACGTGACCACTTGCTTTAAAGCCAAGACTAAGATGTCTGAAATAACATACGTAAGATTTAGCCACCTCACATCATAATTCTGCATCTGCTTTGATCCAGCAAGTGTACATCTGGGCAATTATTTGGAGTTATTGACACAAAGATGCAGCTACGAGGATGCTTGTCGGCTGGCAACTGGGAGAGAGAAAGTGCCGAATGGCACCATGTACTAATAATCTATTACCGTGTAACAAATCACCCTAAAGCTTAGCAGCCAAAACCAACAATGAACATTTATTTCTCGTGCAATTCCTGTGGTCAGGAATTTGGGTGATTCTGGCTCTGAGTTTCATGAGCTTGCTGTTCTCATGTCGGCTAGGGTTGTGGTCATCTGAAAGTTTGACTGGGACGAGAAAACTCACGGCTAAGGTGGCTCATTATCAAGGCCGGCGCATTGGTGCTGGATGCTGTTAGGAGGTCTCTGTTCTTCACACAGCGAGAGAAAACTCACAGCTAAGGTGGCTAATTATCAAGGCTGGCGCATTGGTGCTGGGTGCTGTTAGGAGGTCTCTGTTCTTCACACAGCCCTCTCCACAGGCAGTTGGAATATTTGTCTACATATGATGAGATAGCTTGTGGATACAGCAAGTCTAAATGGGAAATGTGTCTGTGTCTGAAACACACCTTATACATATATCCTAAAGATCGCTTTATACATTTTTCTATTTTGACTGCAACTTGCCACATTAGATTAGATGTAGAATTGTAGACTTGTGGGATCAGTAAGTGGCATGGTGGTTAAGGAGCTGGATTCCCACATGACTGACTGCAGTTTGAGTCCTGGACCTGGTGGCTTGAAAATGACAACAAATAAATAGCTAAATAAATAAATAAATGTTAAAAAAGAAAAAAAAAAACACAAATAAAGACTCTTGCGGCATTATGTAGATGATCAAAAAATTTCGATTTTTGGAGCAGTTCAATTTTGAGTTTCCAAATTAGGGATGCTCAACCTATGTGTGTATGTATATATACCAAAACATATATGTAGTTATCATTGGTTAGTAGGTTTATGGGTAGTTAAAATTTCCTTCATTTTGGTTCATCTGTTTTTCTTTAAATTCCTATATTTTACACTCATTACCTTTGTAACGAGGGAAAAAAGAGTTTCAGAAGCTAGCTTGAGGGCTCAATTAAAAGTAATTAGAACTTCTAACATCCTGTATTAGGGAGTCAGGGATGCCGGTTCCTCAGTCCATTGAATGAGTTCATTTTACTGATTGCCCGCTGCCTCTTTCTTTTTCTTTCTTTCGCTCTTTATTTCTTTGTTACTTTCTTCTCTCTCTCTCGCTCTTTTCTGTATTATTGCCAGAGGGTACATGCACTCACCAGAGACAGACAGAGAGAGAGAGAAGGAGAAATTTTCACCTAATGGGGGCATGGTCATACCACAATTCCTTCTCCCTTTCTTCATCCTGCCAGAACTTGGGGCATCCACATACACAGGCCTAGTATGATTTTAAGCCTCCAGGACTGGGATTTGAACTGTGGTCAGCCATGTGGGACATGGCAAAATTTGAAGCATTTTATGAATTTGCATGTAGTCCATGCATAGGAACCATGCTAATCTTCTCTGTATTCCAATTGCTGTATATGTACTGCTGAAGTAAGCACTGCTTCTTTCTTTTGAACAATTTTTGTTTTTAATGTGCCAGAGGGCATGTGCACTCATTGGAGAGGAAGAGAGAGAGAAAGAGAGAAAGAAAAGAAAGAACGAATGAACCCTCATGGAGAACAGCCACGATACAATCCCCTCTCCTTCTTTCAGGACCATGGGCATGCATACACATGTACCTGGCATGTTTTTCAAGCAGCCAAGTGGAAGACTTGAACCACTCAGTCAGCCATGGGGTCCAGTCTCCGTAACCACCATGGGCTGGACTCTCCCTCTTTCTTAAACACCATCATTTCTTAGCTTTCCTGACCCCACACCATTTTTCATGCTTTCTAGGTGACCACTCCTGTAGATTTATTCATCCTACACCAGATCACTAAATGTTGAAGAATCTCAAAGCTTAGCTTTAGGCCTTTTTTCCTTCTCATTGTACACTCTGCCTAGGTGACCTCATCCACATCCAAGGCTTCACAGGTAGTCAGCCGTAGAGAACACGGAAGTCATACATCTAGCCTTCCTCCTGAATTTGTGTTCTATGAATTCAATGGAATGTCTCAAAACTTCCTCAGATTCAACATATCTATCATGGAAAAAAGAAAAATAATTAATCTATTCTTGTAGTTCTCAATCCTGGGTATTCATTGGAATCATTTGGAAAACCTTTAAAAATACCAATATCTGGATGCCCATGGTTCTGGTTTAAAAACTCTGGTGTCAGGAGCCAGCAGGTGGCATGGTGGTTAAGGCACAGGACTTCCACATGGCCAACCACAGTTCAAGTCCCAGACCCAGCAGCTTAAAAATCATGACAGGCCCATCTGTGTGCATGCCCCAAATCTCAAGATTAGAATGAAGGAGAAGGAATTGTGGCATATTCATCCCCTTTGGAGGGTAATTTCTCACTTTCCTTCTTTCTGTCTCCCTTCTCTCTCTATGATGAGTATACTCACCCTATGGAAAAAACTAAAAATAAAAAACAAAGCAAGACAAACAAACAAACAAACTCTGGAGTCAGGCCTAGACAACAGTATTTTTAAAAGTCTCAATGGATTTTAATAAGTAGGAAGTATTGAGTGCCACTGATCTACTTATTCAATAGAAACCTGGTAATCTTTTTTTTTTTTTAAGGTTTTTTTTTAGGTATTTCTTCCATGAGTGAAAGAGATAGGGAGAGAAACAGAGAGACAGCACCTCTCATAGTTCTTGAGACCACAATCTACTGTCAGCTTCAGCCAGCTCTGGAACATGTACACCTGTGAGCCCAGCACACTCAAGGAGGTCTCCAGACACAAACCTGGAACCTTTCTATATTGATAAGCCTTGCAGAGCATTGTGTTTTACTGCTGCACCCCCATCTAGTCCCTAACCATTTTTCACATTCCCCTCTTCTTTGCAATTTACATGTAACCTCTCATCAAGTTTCATTAGTTTTACCTCTAAAATGTTGCCCAAAGTTATCCCTACATGTTTGTCCCCACGGCCACCACAATAATCTAAACTACCATCTGTCATCTGGACCTTCAGTGAATTCTGCATTCATGGGTATGAACATGTCTTCTTCTTTCCCCTCTTGTGGTGGACACATTCTGAAGTGATACTCGGTGAGTCATGCCCTCATTGGATCCCCTCCCCTTGAGTAAAGGAAGGCCCTGTGACCTCCTTCTAACCAACAGAATACAGCAAAGATGTTGGATGTCACTCTCACAATTATATAAGATTCTATTTTCGCACACTGGAGTGACGGAGAGTCTCTTGACCACCTTGAGGAAGCCAACAACCATGTCATAAACTGGCTATATGGACGGTCATGTGGCAGGGACCTGTGCATGGCCTCTAAACCATGAGGGCAACTTCCAGCTGACAGTCAGTAAGCAACTGGGCCCCTTGGGCCTCTAACTACAAAGAAATAATTTCTACGAACACCCTGAACGACCTTGGAAGTGGATTTTTCCCTAGTCAAGATTTCAGGTGAGGGACCAGCAGTTAGCGTAATGGCCACATTGCTGAACTCCCATGTAGTTGACCGTGGTTCAAGTCTCGGATCTGGTGGCTTAAACTCACACCAGGCGCGTGTGCATGCATGCTCAAGATCCCGAGAGGAGAATGGAGGAGAAGGGATTGTGTCATGGCCATTCCCCTTGGAGGGTGATTTCTCACTTTCTGTCTCTCTGTCTCTTTCTGTCTTTCTGGCAAGCACACGCGCCCTATAGCAAAAACCTCTCCAAAAAAAAAAAAAGAAGGAAAAAGATTCCAGGTGAGTCTAACCTAGCCACCTATCCTTTGCTGTAGTCTATGAAACCCTGAGCAAAGGATCCAACTAAGCCATGCATATTCTCCTGACTCATAGAAACTGTGAAATAATTAATGTGTATTGGTTTAAGTCACAAGATTTGTGGGTAATCTGTTCTAGAACTAATATAATATTTCTAATAATATTAGAAAATGAATATTCTTTCTTACTGTCAACCCCAAAACCTATAAATATTTAAATGGCTTCCTCTCTCTCTCTCTCTCTCTCTCTCTCTCTCTCTCTCAAATCAAAATGAGCCCAGATCTATGAATCTTCTGGCCCCTACCTATTTCTCTGGTTGTGTATACATTCTATCTTACTCTCTGTACATTAGCCACATCGACCTTTTTTAAGGGCTTAGGACTTTCCTGTGCCCTTTGACTACAGGGCATTTGCTCCTGACACTGTCATTTTTCTGAAGGTTCTACTGGGCTGTTGGAAATGTCATGACATCCTTTTTCTGGTTTTCTATGCAAAAATGCATCATGACTTTTCCAACGACCCAGTATTTACTTAGTTATCTTTTACTCAACCCACAGTACTGAGTTTCAGCATCATTTTTAAAAATTTTTCTACAGGACATGTGTGCTCTCCAGATAGAGAGAAAGAGAGAGAAAGAGAGAAAGCACCTCCCAGGGGAATGGCCAAGCTGAAATTCCCTTCTCTTCCATTTTCCTTTCAGGATGTTTTTGGGCATGCACACACATGCAGTCAGCATGTTTCTTCTCAAGCCACCAAGTCTAGGACTTGACCTATGTAGTTGGCCATGTGGGATCCAGATACCTCAACTACCATGCTACTGGCTGGCCCCCAGCATCACTATTTTAAGGAAGCCTTCTTTGAATTGCTCTGTCAGGGTCAAATGTCCAGTTATAATGTCTTATAACATTTTATCATTTAATTTATCCATTTTCATTTATGATTTTATTTATTTGTTTGGATTACTTTTTGGTCAAGCTCTGTTTTCCCTACTAGTCTGTAAGTTCCATGAAGGCTGCAGCATTACTCATGTTGGCTCATCATTTTACCCCTGTATCATATTAAGGCACACCTAAAAGTATTCAAAAGGTTCCTTAAATCAATGAAAGGTGAATTAGACATGGTTTTTTGGACCTTACCTCACACCAGTACACTTAGGTTAGAGCACGGATCAACAGATCCTAATTAGATCAAGGTGTATAAAGCTGATCCTCTGTCCAGATGCAACCAGGGAGCTCCAGACATAGAATAGGCTTTTGGAAAAACAAAATTTAGCCAGAAAAATATCCAAACATTTTTTGCTCTCCAAACAAAATGTTGTTCTTCAAACTATTCAGTGACTGTCTATGCTTCTATTATATGTCAAGAAATACTGGAGATATGATGAAAGATGAAAAATCTTCTTAGAATCATGGCCTCTCTTCTGGTTGCTTCTCTAGTTCTTCTCTTCTCCTGTTTTTGTTTGTTTGTTTGTTTAGGTTTTTGCCATAGCACACATGTGCTCACATGTAGGAGACAGAGAGAGGGAAAGTGAGAAATCAGCCCCCCGGATGGCCATGCCACAATCCCTTCTCCTCCATTCTCCTCTTAGGATTTTGGGCCTGGACACACGCACATGCCTGGAGTGATTTTCAAGTCACCAGTTCTGACACTTGAACCATGGTAGACCATATAAGAGTCCAGTGCCTTAACCACTACACCACCATCTGGCCCTTCTCCTCTGTTACAGTGGTGTCCAACAATATGTAAGGGAAACACGTTAGGTACTATGTAGGCTGCCAAGAAGTACAAGGCAAACTCTCTGACTTCCAATGACAGGGAAAAAGTCAATTTGGAGTCTCAAGAGAAAACTGGAAACAAATCTTCCACTTTCTCTTTTATTGAAGAAATGGCCCTTTATGATACAATTGATGAAGGTGAAATTGCCTGAAGAATCCTGTTAAAAGTGGAACATGTTAGGAGAAAATAAACACAGGGCATAGATGTGCCATCATAAGTTTGGTCCTCTACAACTCCCAGACATCTCAGTTCTATTCATTGCCTGTCTTATATACTATGAGATACTAGTATTATTTTTATCCCTTACACTTATTCTATAAGCTATTGAGTAATTTATTTATTTTCATGAGGCTTACATTCTAGTGTGTGGGGGGGGAGTCTGTGGAAAGCATATATATATCAATCAAAAGGGAGTAAGTGCCATGAGAAGTAGAATGGCAGCGGGGTGTGCAGTTTTACAGAGAATATTCAAGTAATGGTTGCATTTGCAATGACTTGAAGTACATCTGGTAAGAACCTGGGAGGGCATTTTGAGGGAAAAGTATGTCAAGCCAAAGGAGGAGTGAGTACAGGCAGGAGCTTGCTAGGGGAACAGCAAAGAGGCCTGTGTGACCACAGAGTAGAGTGGAAGAGTAGGAGCAAATGAGGGCAGACAGAGAGAGCGCATGTTCTGCAAGACCCTCGAGAAACCTAAGGTATTAACCTGAGTTAGACACTGTGTTGTACAAGGCTTCCTCTGGCTGCTGTGATGAGAATACTTAGGATTCTATGACACCGGTAGAGACCAGTGCAGAGACTGGAACAATGGACTGAGTAGACGATGACAGTGGCTTACACTAGGATGACAGCTACGAAGATGGCAAAAACGGGTTGAATTTTCTGTATCATTTTACACAGAGGGCCATTCGTGTCTGCTGATATGTTCCGTGGAGAAAATAAGGCAAAGGACTT